ACTATAACTATGTGCTGATAAGACATTACTTTTTATAAATAGTTGTTTGATTCCATAGAGAAATTGCAATGAACGAACCTTCAAGGGTTTATATTTAACTTCCCGGCAGCGCATCCGTTGGATGTTGAATTTTTCGCTCAATAAACCAACTGCGTTCGTGCGAAAGCAATCAGTTAGCTATTTCCACGAAATAGGTATAGGTGATGAACTGGAGTTTTCGAAATGTTTTACGACTACAAGTAAGTACAGACTAAACATTATTTTTCTCAGCGGCTTAGTAAAGCATATAGTTATTCATTATTCATAATAAGGTTAGTGTTTAGGCCCGTGTTAATGACAGCTATGTAAGTGGGTGAATACTGTCGTGTCGCGAGCTGGAATGGAATCCGGTCACATTCCTAACGGCACTACACACTTACACTGTCGCACGTTTGATGTACTTCACGCATATTGCAATATCTACCATATTACCACATTAAATTATGTCAATTAACTTGTGAGTATCGCGCCACGCTGTCTCGTGCTTACTACTCCACTAGTATAACTAGATTGTGTGGTTCACCTAGACGATACTTAGGCTTGTGTTAATGATTAAATAATCGCCCTTTTGGATTTCCAAATATACTTACTCGAGCTATCATACGAGAGGCTGGAGAGAATCATTCTACTCGTATAACTTTTTATCAACATTACGTAAAACGTTACGTAATGTTGATAAAATATTACATTAACATTCCTTATTCATAAAAGGAGTTTTACATTTATGTGGCTGAAACACTTATTGGCTGAGTTTACTACAATGTTTACACACAATTTATATTGTTGTTAGTGTAAGTATCTATCTATGAATGTTTGTTGTACTTACGAATCTTTCTAATACAATTTTAGAGAACCAAATATCTTTAAAGATTTCATTTACACTTTCATTAAACGCTGTCTTACTTTTTTTAAATTTTGCAATAGGTAAAGTTAAAGCTGCGAAAAATTAAATAATGATATTGTAATACATGTTACTGTTTATAACATGTTTTATAAATACACAGCTACAAACTAAAGTTTTGTTTAATTTACGTTTGCGTGGTATCCTAACTCAAGATCTGTAAAGTACCCTTTGACTATATTTTAATATTCCATTTAGATAGGTACATGAAGGATCAACAAACGCAAACTTTTACTTTCAACACATGAATCGTAATCCTGTTTATTTACCTAGTGAAAATTCCTTCACCCAATGTAGTTATATTATATCTCCAAACCATTCTCCACAGCTCGACTGCTTTCCGCGCCGGTTGCTAAAATGAAATACCTTTTACGTTACGTTTCGTTGTGGTTTACATTAGCTTTCCCCGTATATTCAGCCCGCAACCTTAACGATTACAGAGCGGTTTTGTCTGTTTTGCTTTCCCGACTTGCGGTATTAGCTGATCCCGGCCTTCACTCGTTACTACAAAAACTCTTTTTTCATACCTTTAAATGAACTTTTCATAAGCCTTCTGAATGCGGCTTTAAGTCAGTAGGTCACTAAGATTTCTTTTGGATGCGAAGTTCTCTTACATAAACATGTTATTACTGTTGTGAAGGTGACTTTCTTTTCTCTGTTTCGTTTTTTAGTATTTGGTTTACGTTTTTGTATGTGGCATATATGTGTATTGATAGTGTGTGTATGAGTGCGTATGAAAGCAAATATAATAGATGCGTAGCGGGTGGAGGCGGTGCGCGGACTGCGCATATACCCGCGGGTCAATTACTGCATAAATCAATACGGATGTCGCCCTATGCGGTAGCTCTTTGTTCCAGCCGACTGAAGATACGAGGCCCGTCTCGGAGGCTCCAGCTCTGTCCGGAAAACTCGCTGAGGTATCGCGGGGTCGGATGATTACTTATTAACGTAGGTGGAGGCCGACAGGCGCGGGCGGGCCGCTTCGAGCTCCTCGCGCGATCGATGCCGAGTCGGCCAATGGCGTGCCGCCGCCCTCCGTCCCCCGCACCCTGCGCAACCCTCACCACACCCCGCGAATGCCGCACCCCAGCACACCGCCCCCATAAATCATTGAATCCGCCATAAAACACCCCAATGTTCGTAAAAATGTAACTCTAATTGGCGAACACAAGTCTCATATCTCCTAGTCAAACTACATCCGGAAGCCTTCAGGACAAGGCCTTAGTTTGGAGACGTAAAACATTGATCAAAGCGTAATACAGATCTCGACTCGCTCGCTCGTTTGCCTCGTCGGAGTGGGGCTTGTACGAATAATTGAATTTCCATCATGAAACAAAATGAGAGCTGAAAACTGAAGCGGGCGACTTTGTTGGCACAGAGAATTATTTCGGACGTCAATTATTTAGTCACGGTATCTATCGGAAAATTGATATAACAGTAAAAGCGCATCTATTTTATGAAAATGGCAGAAATGCTTTATATGTTATAGAACTTGAGGCTTACTGTTTATGACTATATTAAAGATTTTGTTATGGACAGAATTTTTATTTTATACTCAGCGTGATATGATAATACAATTCTTTTCTCAGTCTTATCTACGGAATTACAGATAGTACTGTATTTTATAGACGCTTTTTATCGTTCATTCCGGATAATAAAAACAAACATGTAATGGTTTTACATACAAAACAAATCAATTAGTGCCGTTGTTGATTGTAATGTTCATTTAGATATGCAATACATTTCAAATTTTACAGTGGAAAATGAAATTAATATTTCGAAATTTTATTCCGACAACAAAAAGAGAACTAACAACACACAATGAATCGTAGCACACAGACGACTGTGTAATTTCCTTTCTAATCTAATAAACAAACTTGTAACAAAGCTGGATATACCATAATATGTGTACCTAGGATATATTTATAGAATTCACCAAAATCGGTTGTCATGTGACCTAGACTACTGAGTATGCTAAGTGAAACAATAAGATAGCAATAACATTTATTTAGATACCATGCAGTAGAATAATTATATTTAGAAGCACTCGCAAACATTCGACCCTTTCCTGCAAATTTAATACTACTCGTATTTCTTAAAATATACCAAAATGATACTCTTACACTACACAAGTTGTAACATTTGGCGAAGAGTTGATCTAGCTGTCACGGCAATCATGTAGGTAGAATGAGAAATGACTAAAACTTGTGAGTATAAGTATGAAAGCATGTATTCGTAAACGACGTATTATTATTATTATTATTATAATAAAAATAATTCAGGTTTTGTTTACAAACAAGTCCTAGGCTCGGATGATGCTTCTTAGTAAACAGATAAATATACATCTTAACTTTTTGCTACTTTGTGTGATGAAATATGAAATTACCTTACAAGTACAATTGATAAAGTAGATAGGCAGAAGACTTGGACTTTCTTGCCCTGTTATACAAAAGAAATACCTATTGTCAGTGTTTTAGAGTGACTAGGATTACCCCCGGCAGTTAGGGTGCTTCTACGCGGTACAAGAAGTTGGAGCGGGTAAAGGCACCGGTTATTTACGTTAGTAGTATGCACAAGTTACTTGCTCGTAACTTGTACATGCTGCTCGCGCGGGTTACATGTATGGGTATTGCTAGTTTCAGATTTGATACAATTCAGTGCCTTTTTTTTTTTTCTTTTTTTTCCGTGCGGAAATCCCCTCGGATACCACCTGTCGGTGGCATGTCGGACTCGAACCGACTAAAACCGCACGCCTTCGCCGGGTACTAATAGCCGGGGAACCAGGTATACCCTAGAAAGGAAGGCCCTGGTGCCCCGACATACCTCGGGTCATCTACAGACGAGTAGACGACCCCCGCCCCGTGTGGGAACCCCATGTTCCCTGTGCTCCCTGGAAGCGAGCGCGCTTCGCAACGCGCTCGCCGCCACCCCGGCCTGCTTCTGCTAGGGTGACAGATGGCCTCACCTGTCACCCCCAGGCCTGCGCTTATGGAGGACGGAGGTCGTTCTGCGACCTCCGGCGCCTGAGTCGCCTGCGCTGCCTGGCCCGTGCCCGGGCCTGGCGGGCCGGGAGAGTTCTAAACCTCTCCCGGTCCCGCTCCGCCGTCTCCTTCGCTAGCATAACTTGCTCGCAGAAGGAGACGGCAGAGTTCCACGCACTCTCGCTCCGCACGATAGCCGCAATCAGGCTATCGAGCGAGAGAACTCCCACTGCGATGGCCGCCACGAGGTCTCGCCTCTGCTCAACCCACGCCGGGCACTCTGCCAGCGTGTGGAGAGCCGTGTCCACGGTCTGGCCATCGCAGTGGTGGCACTCAGGCGTTGGCTCCTTGCGGAACAATTCAGTGCCTGAGTACTTGTACACGGTGTAGTATCTGGAGCAAGTAATCGCGTTAAAATGCCTTGACGAACGAGAATTTTATGAAGTCATTTGTTAAAAATGTTAATCTACTAGAGTTTAGGGCGCGATGCAAATCGTGCGGGTAACATACATACGCGGGGTGACTCGCGCTGGTACATCCTCGAGTCGCTGGACCCGATTAGTCCTATTCGCGAAGCATATAACCTGCGCAAGTGCCCCAACATGCACAAGCTACTTGCATTGTGTGGAAGCACCCTCAGCACAGTACAGTTTACCCGACTGCGCCAGAAGGAGGGCTAGGTTTTTCCATTGTATGTATGTATTTTAATTTGTAGATTTTAGGTATCTATGAGCAGCATTTTCACGGAGTCAGTTTCTTGTTTTTTTTCAATAACTAGCTTATCTCCGATCCGCACGATGAAATTAACGGTTGCTTGACCGTTAATCATCAATCATCGACCGGATCGTGTGCCTGTTTGCTACCTCAGATTTATTTCAAGAATTAGACCCGTATTATTTAATTTAATTGAAAATTGCGTAACTGAATGAATTAACTAATTATTTTAAAGAGTGAACTACTTAATATGTATAAACCTTTATAGTATACCCTCATAATCATGAATTAATTTTAAATTCAATTTCTAACGATAGCAGATTTTCTGATAGCATTCCCCTGACATACTTTTTTTTTTGTTTCAGCCGCCTCGGGGCTACGGAGGCCCCCAATATGCGGGAGCCCCAGGCGGACCACAACAGCCCCCGGGCGCTTACGGGCCGCCAGGCTCATATCCTCAACGGTATCCACCGCCGCCAGGTCCCCCGGGTGCACCTAACTCAAGACCGCCGTTCTCGCCACATCAGGTTTGTTACCAAACTTACAATAAAAGATTTGTGATATGGTTTCCATGTTATGGTTGTTTTCCTTATTGAGTATGGAAAGAACTAAATCTTAAATCGTACTTAAAATAATTCGCCGTGCTTCGGTTCGTTGTCTGCTACTATTTTAAATCCATTTTACAAGTTATTCGATTAGTTTTATTAAAAAAAAACATTAGTGCTCATAGATGTACTACATAACTTTTATGCTAGAATAAAAACAAAAAAACTAGTTTGACAATAATTGGTCTATATTTAATAAAAATTAGTTGCGGTTAGCAGAAATAACGGCACTCGACTTTACTCAATAATTTGCCCCCTTTTTTTTCTGTGCTGAAATCCCCTCGGATATCACCCGCCGGTGGCTATGTCGGAACTGAACCGACTAATAAAGCCAATCCTCCATAATGGGTCTTACCGCCGCAATAACGGCGTGCTCGGCGCTTGGTTGCCCAAGTCGTTCCTTCCACTCCTCCACGGTGAAGTTGGGATTTCTGGTCCTCGATTTCTCGATTCTCAGGACTCCGACCCAACTCTCGCGCCTATTTGCGCAATATATTGAGAATAAGAGCCGCAAGGGCTCTCGCCTCCAGGTCCCACCGTGGAGTACCGGCCTGGAGACTCGCCGCTTCAAAGGAGATCGTGCGGTGGGTCGTCGCAGTATTGCGACGTTACTGGGCCTCAGAGCTCTCGCCCATACTGGGGCCCCATAAAGGGACATGGACCGCACAACCCCCGAGTAGAGTCTCAGCATCATCATCAGGTCCCCTGATGTCGGGCAGCAGCCGCGCCAACGCACGAGCTGCTCCAAACAACTTGGGGACCAGACCTTGGAAATGATGTCCGAAGTCCCATCGGCCATCGAGTACGAGCCCTAGATAGCTCATCGAGGCCTTGATGCCGATGCGAGTGCCTCCTACAATGAGACTGGATCCCTCAGGTAGCTTCCTCCGAGGCCCATGAAAAAACAAGGCCTCGGATTGTTGCAGAGCCACCTCAAGACCCAGCCGCCGGATCCCCTCAACGACTTGGGCAACACCGGCCGTGGCCCTCAGGGTTGCCTCATGGTGCGTCTTGCCGCACGCCGTCACGAGTAGAGAGTTCTAGAAGAGGACAGATTGAATTAGGAACGAAGAGTGGACACGCGTGGAAATATGATTAGGACATAACAGGAGTGGCTTGTTTAGGGAACGGAGAGTTCTGTTGTGATTAGAACATAGCAATTGGAATGAAGATGTAAGGTAGGAAGGGGAAATGGGTGAGTTAAGAATGGAATAGAGAGTGGTGGGGTATATTAAGCCACTGGTATACTCGTGCTAACTCCTGCCAACACAAATTGTTATTGATATATTAATGCGGGAGTTGTCTTTTAAAAAAAAAATTTTTTATTAAATTATAATACACCGGTATTAATACCTACTCACCGACTAAAGCCACGGGAAAACTTTGTAATGTGTTAAATCATTAAAATAATTCTAATTTTTTCTCAATTAAAATAGGATACGTCTATTTTTTGAGAATATGAAGCCTACTGAACACAAAATAATCAGTGTATTTATTGTGCTAACAAACAGCACACAACAAAATTAAAGTTGTTGTTGCTACTAAAATAACGGTTCGCATTTAATAAGATTTTTAAGTAACAAAATGGAAATTAAACATGGTATTCTAATTCTACGTCAATATTTATTATAAATCCTACTACCTTATCCAAATAATAAAAAGAGTTTTAATATCTAGCATGACTTGAAAACTAACAAGCTTCAACAGTTTTCATTTATATACGAGCCCCGATGCAAAATAGTTCGTCTAGTATGGAAAGTAGTGCAAAGCGTAAAATATAGAAAGTAAATATAGGTAAAATAATTAAGAACGTTTAATAAAAAGTAAACCACAATTTGAGGAACATTTTAAAGTTTATTTTAACATAACTGAAATTCTTTCATGACTTTACATCTCATCAAAATAGTTCGTCTATCACTTAGTTGTGTCGCCTTTGCTCTCAATGACAGCTTTAATGCGAAGAGGACTGGTTGCAACCAACGCTGCACACTCCTCAAGCGTAATTGACTCCCAGACAGCCAAGAGTTTAGCCTTTAAGTCGCTCTTCGATCTTGATGGATTTTTACGGAGAACTTTTTTCATTTTCCACCATAGAGTTTCGATCGGCGACAAGTCCGGGCTGTTAGATGGCCATTCGATTGTAGGGATGCTTTTCGCAAGTAGCCACGTCTTCGTTGTCCTTGCAGTATGGCTTGATGCTTAAGTGACGGAATAGAGGGCAGTAAATTCTTTTCCAAAAGATTTTGATACCTTGCAGCATTGATAGAACCATCCACAAACTGTATACCACCAACACCTTGTCCAGACATGCAGCCCCATATTATAAGAGACGCCGGAAACTTCACTTTGCGTTTGAGACAATCAGTATGAAATGCCTCATTTTTGTTCCGAATCACTTTTTTCCTTTCATCGCCGACTGTCACTTCAAATTTGGACTCGTCACTCCAAATGATACTACGCCACTGATCGGAAGTCCAATTTAAATGATCACGAGCAAACTTCAACCTCTTTTTCTGGTGGTTTCTCCTTAGCGGTGTAAAATCCGTAACCCATTCTTTTTAAGACTCTTTTACAAGTATCAACTGAGACGTCTTTGTGAATCATGTCCTTCCATTGCACCGTGAGTTCTCCAGCTCGAGCACGACGATTATTTTTGATAATTTTCTTTAGGATTCTGTTTTCTACTGCACTTGTGATGCGTGGTCGACAAGTTTTCTTCAAAGTAAAGTCATTCTATTCTTTTTATAGTGCTGAATGATAGATTGGACTGTAGACCTGGGAAGTATCAAGTCTTTATATATTTTGTAACTTGATTTGCCAGCATCGACCCCACAAACTATTCGCTTTCGAAGCTCTTCACAGACGGGTCTGCCACGACCCATTGTTATTTGAAAACTAATGAAGACTGAAATTTTCAGAATTAATACTGTCTCACTTGACAAATGACACAGAATTACTTTTACAAATTTAAATGATGCAACATAATTGTACAAAGAAGGAAAAATCTTATTGAACTCACCGATAGACGAACTCTTTTGCATCAATTAACAATTAGACGAACTATTTGTCTTATAACTTCTTCGAATTTAAAACAGGATATGTATAAATTTAAAAAGCTAAAATAGTTTATTGGTTCATAATTAAGAAATGGCATAAGTAACGCGACATATTATAGTAGAACAGCTTAATATTTTATGTAGATATACAAAAATAATGAAGTTAGAAAAAAAATCTCACAGAGAAAATTTCACACTAGACGAACTATTTTGCATCAGGGCTCGTATTACAGTATTTCTTTAAAGGAAACGATCTTTGTACGCCCATGAAACCCGAATAAAAAGTTTTGCAGCCTCGTATTTAGGGGATTGTTATTCATAACATAAATATTTTCCTGACGATCCAACCGTTTGGATAAGCAGCAATCAATTATTCATTGTAAAAATGGCACCGCTGATCCATTATACATGCAGGTGTCTGCATTACATGCCGCAGATTAATAGTGATTGATGGCCATGTACATATTATGTACGCACTAGAATATGTATGACATAGAGAGGTCATTGCCCTCAAGACAAGATGGGACTGCGGTTTGGAATTGCATTGAATCTGTTGACAATATACATTATACACTTCACTTAATGGGATCAATGCAATCGAATGAAAACTAATTATCTAGTTTAATTTCCTTAATTAGTGCAACTTGCAGTTGTGCCTTTTGACGTACGTACAAATGGTTATGGTGCTCTTTGCGTTATAATCTACATAATTGTAACAAAGAAAGACAACCTGCAGGCGCAGTATTCCAGAATGCACTTTTAAAAAATACCTTGAAACAATTACATGAACCGAGAATATGAATTAAAGGACGACAGCTAGAAAAGCGTAAGTACGCCAGAAGCAGTGGACGCTTTACCGAATGTAGACATCTCGCAACCTAATGTATTGTATCTCACACTCCTAGATGTAAGGCAGCCTAATCGCTATGTAACCACATAGCTTCAATAATGTCTTGTTTGTAATGATTTGTACTGCTTTCAAAAACAAGAAGACAGAACTACATATTCATGAGCGCACTCCTCACATATAATAATGTGATTCGAAGCTATTGCATTAGCGTTAGTACCTACTTCAATATTTTTGAAAGTATTTTACTCCCGGCAAACTAACTTTACCAAAAATGCATTATCTCTTTAAAGATTCTGTCTTCTAAGAAACGTGTTTATGCTAGCTTGTCGTGTTGGCGGATTCATATTTAAGTCCGAAACTAGAGAACCGCCTCAAACTGTTTCTTGGAATCGTTGAGCCGACGGCGGCGCGTCGGAGCCTCATCCACTCACGTGAACATAAACGTTCTATCATTCTTAATCCCTCCTCGCAGGAACACGACTCTAAAAGCCATAGGCATAAGTTCTAACTTAGCTTGGATGCTCAAGATACGCTCGAATGACGTAAGCCGCTTCGCGCGCTCGCTGACGTAAGCTCGTTGTGCAACGGAGCCAGAGGTACGTTTGAAGCAGGGCTCTTGGAGCGAACTCGTGTAGAAATCGATGTTTAGAAATGATTCCACTTTGAACAAGGCCGTTTTCAAAACACGTCTGTACTCCGTTTCGTATTAAGATACCTTTAAATGCGTATTCTTGGCGCTATGACAAACACTGTCTATTAGTCTTTGGTATCCGGTTGTTCAATAATACTTCTGTTTTCGTATGATGTTTGTTTGGTAATATTTTCATTGTGTGGCAACTACTTGTAACATTTTTGGGAAACGCTAATGCAATGTGTCGATATTGAAGCAAGTATTTGATACACTCATATAACCGAATTAGAAAATCAATATAAACGCATTCTTATGTAATTTTATAAGTTAATATGTCTAAAATGAGGGGCGGCTGGGTACTATCTTGATTTCGAGAGGTAGAGAG